GGTTATGGGTGGAGCAATCAAACGATATGCAAATCGACTACATCACTAAACCTACATTAAAAACTGTCGAGCAACTTCAGCAGCTCAGGCTGAATAACCAGCGCCTTGGCCTAACTATCCCAGTTGCCACGTTGCTCCTCGCTGCGCTGAAGGGCCCGTTAGGTTGCGCTCAGATAAGGCCAAGAGTTAAATAAGGTTTTGGGTTTCCCCCTCCCCACGCCATTGTCCCCCCACTTCCCACCACAAAGGCAGCAACTATTGATTAAGGGCCAGGCCAGTTTACCTATCGGGTTGTTCACTTCACAGCAGAGTCGCATTCCAGCAGAGAGGGCAGAGTTACCTGATCACGCCTCACTACCAACGTGTGGGCAGCCGTAAGCGGTTGAAACTCCCACAACTCGAAGCGCGATACGCAACAATGGTGGGGGGAAAACTCTGCCGTAAGCAGAAGAGGAAGTTTTCGGAACGGACGGAGGACAAAATGACTGGATTTAGTGGTTGGTTAGACGTAAACTCGCACCTCTTTGTACAGGTATTGTTGTTTCTACCTATAACCTGAATATTCTGGGCTAATTGTTTTTTTTCCCACTCTTTCTTTATTTCTCTTCCTCTTTTCTTCCTCAGAAGGCCTGCAGCGCGGGTTTATAATGCTGATCATTAACTAAAAAAAAAAAAAAAAGACTCTGGGAGAGCAGGTCTGCTTGACTTTCTCATTTCATGGGGCCGGCCCGGCTGGGAGGAAGACGGAGCGTTCTCAGGCAGCGGGCTGGAAATTCAAGATCTTTTTTTCTCTTTCTTTTTCAGCCCCCCTCCCTTTTCCCCTCTAAACATGTTCACTTTACTTTGGTTTTGTTGCATTCTTTCCTTGGGGTACCTTTCATGACGGTAAGGTTACAGGTGCATTCTCTACTTTCCTTCTCCACCTGTTTTTTTTTACCCTGAAATTTTCCCTCCCCTTCAAACTCTTTTCTTTCTCTTGAAACCCTACAATGCTAACGGTGACTGGAAACCTGTTCTTTCTTAACGAACCAAATAGTTATTTTACAAACAAAGAAAGTTTTTTTAGTTTTTTTAGTTTTTTTTTTAAAGTTTGGTGAAAGAAAAATGAGAAACTTTCCAAGTTACATTAAAAAAAACATAAAGACATCAGTATGGGGTGTGAGGATTTCACGCGTTGTACCTGTGAATGATCCCTGTTATTCAGTAAACGAGTAAACGACCTTCTGCATACACGCCGTTGGCTCAGGTCGAGCCGAGCAGCATTCCATCAGCCTTTCATCACACGGCAAACACAAAGACAACGGCCTAAGAGGTCCGCCAACGGAAAAAAAACGAACAAAAACTCAGCTTTTCTTTCTGCCTGCATACGACAGCCGCTGAGAGATGCTTATGATCGTCGAGCCACGACGCTGCACCTTATGGTCACCCGCCTGACTGGGATACAGCACGGCGCGCAACAGAACCGGCTCCCCGAGGGGGCGACGGGCTTTAGACTCGGCAGCGCTTTTGAAATGACTTGCAGCCATGTATTGTGTGAAGTACAGGCCTCCCGACCTCACCGTGCCGTAGTTAGACTAGTCGGAACAGGTTTTGGCAATCATTAACAACCGCTGTGGCCAGGTTTTCTGTGGCAGCAAGTTGAAGCTGTAAACCCCAACAACAACAAGTGTTCGGCGGTTACACAACGGCGCGGTGTTCACCGGGACCGGGCTTCCCCATTTCTAATCGGGAAGCTATTTTTAACTGATACGTGGTTCAGATTGAGCTTAAGCTTTGCTAATACATAATTATAACTTGTTAGTGTGTTGGGAGTGGTCTGAGTTTGAAAAAACAACTATTTTTTTTAAATAATGGTTGCGTTCCCCTCTTTTTTTTTTGGGAACTGTACTCTTCATTGTGTTTTAGTACGCATCTTTTTTTTTTGATGAAAATGTATCACTTTATCTTCTACAACTTTTTTACCTGTAAATGCACACTTCTGGGTGTTTATCTCCATCTTACGAGGCAGCATTGGATATCATCACTTTCTCTAATACTGCCTGGTAATGATGATGATATTCATCTGCTGACTGGAACCAGACAAACCACTTTTAGCGGCGTTAGTGGCGCCGTGCTTCCCTTGGCCCCGGATCAGGTAAAAAAAAAGCACATGAGCGGTGACGGAAATGGTTCCCAGGATCCATCTTACCCGACAGTGCTGGATTGTACAACTGTTGTTCTAACACTGTCTGGTAACGATGTTTTCTGGGTGACTGCGTGTCTTCGAAGTATTCCTCTTTCAAACTGCAACATGGTTATTGACAGTTTTAAAATATGTGAAGCATTGGGTGTCGTAAACCTGAAAAAAAAAAAGGGTGAGCTCGGGATTACGAATGTCTGGCGTTTTTACCCTGAAGGTAATTCCAAAAAAGGTGTGCAGTTTTTTTTTCTTCTCCCTTTTGTTCCCATTAAACTTCCATCCTAAACACCCCAGGCTATCCAGCTCTGCACTGATCTGTAAAACTAAAAAGGATAAGATGTACTGTTGACAGATGGCGTATTAGTTTGTAAAAATAAAACATTAACGTGAAAGCTTTTCTGAAAAATAGACGACAAAGTATTTCAGACGCTTAAATATTTGCTTTTACGTTTTTACTTTGCCTCAATTTATGACACTGCTTTTGAAAAGAGAGAAAAAAACCCTTTATGACAATCTCACCCCACCCAGGTTAAAGAATAGCAGTCGGTTGATGGTTCCACCGRTCCTGCAGGGCCTTATTTCCTTGTTCCCTCCCCTAGAACGGTGTTGGTCTTTGTGCTGTGTGGCGCTGATTGGTCCACCTAGCTTTACCTGCGTGGAACATCAGACACATGAGCTCAACAGAGAGCCGGTACAAAATGGGGGATATTATAAAAAAACACACAGGTTAAAGCTTTGAAATACAAATAAACTTTCTTTGGATCAAACATTAAGTTTAAATAACCTCATTTGCTGTTGACTTGAAACCTTACAGAAATCTAATTTTAATGAGCAAAGACTGAAAAAGAAGCGTTTAACAGCAAACAACAGAAAAGTAGAAACAGTGTTTGTTAAAGGAGGTAGATGTACCGCACAAATTTTAAACCACACCTTTATTTGCTCCATTATCCCAAACTGCAGGAAACATAAAAGCTTTTTTTCTTTTTTTTAATCACATTTATGTTGTTGCCACATATTTTGTACTAATGTAGACGTGTAGAAAGATCACTTGAGTACTGTTGAGCCTTACCCTTTTTTTTCTCCAAAATCTGTTTTCTCTACCCTCTCTCTGCATGCTTGGCCAGTGTAAATGACAGAAAGTGCATTGTTCTGAGTCTGATTCTGCAAACAAAGGAGGAACTGCTCATTTCAACCTGTTTCTGCACTGTTCTGTTTCCTCCAGCCCTCGTCTTCCTCTTTGCGCGGATGAAAGGTCAGAGGTCGTCCTTCCAGCCTGTTGATAGGCGTCTTACCAGACAAGGTTAGATGTAATTATTGGTGTCTAATACTGTCTGGTAATGCCGTCCATTAAATGGCATTACCTTCCGCTCTCTTCCTTCCCCTCCTCTTGCTCTGTGCACCTGACATGCATCGTATTGACAAAAGGCAGACCAGGGAGGCACATCAACATATTAACAGTAATGGCAGATGGTGTTGAATGGTGATGACTATGGAACTATGATCCTTGCACTGGAAGATGGATTGATTTCTGTGTGGTTTCTTCCATGTGACACGAGTCAAAGTTTCCCCTTTAAGCACCACTCGTGGATTTCTTCTAGCTGGTTTGAAATATTGGTAAATTTGTATTTTTTAAATTAAATAGATTTGCTTTCTTCCTTTTTCTGTATTACTTTAATTTTTTTTCCTTTAGCTAACACATTACGCACTGTAAATCGCAATTTTAACCATATTCTGTGTGCTGAAATGCTCTGTAATGTGAATAAACATTAAATAAAAGGGTCAAAATTTAACAACTCTTCTCTTGTTCATTTTGTTTTCCTTCTAWATGATGTTTTTCTTGATTTGCCGAAGTGTAAGATCCGCGGAGCTCTTTGTGGCAGATTTGTTTGCTGGTACTTGTGAACTCTTCCCTCGGACACACTGGAATGCTGAGCGTCAGTCAGGTGTGGATCAGGTTACAACTGAACAGAGCTTCTTTTTAAATGCCTCGATTTACCCATAAAGGTCCCTCCATCAGCTAAACCCTCATTGTGCCCAGCTCTGTGGMGGCTCACAGAACACTGGCCCGATAAATCGAGCAGCACAAGGCCCGTTTTCTCCACGAGGAACTTTGCTGTTGTCAACGTCTGCATTTACAAACTTATATGCAGAAGTTTCTCTTTAGCACCTTTTTTTTTTTTTTTACAACAGAGCAGGCAGTATAGATATATTGTTTAATTAGCCCTGTTAGCGCAGGCTTTCAGTTGACTGTTTAAACATAGCCCTGATTTTATCAGTTCAAACACAAAAAACATTTAGCCGTTTAACATAACGGACTTCAAGCTTCACTGATCTAGTCAACCGGGGTAAGAGTTTGCAATTCCCAGAAATGTTACAGACTTTAAAATATCGTTTTATTATTGAAACAATTAAATTTATTTTAGTCAATTTTATTTGCAAATTAAAAAGTGATGATATATTAATTTGCCTTTTTAAAATGGCTTTTTATTTGTTAAATTGAGCATTTTCTCAAATTATTTTTGAATGCTGTTTTGGTGCATCATCATTAGATGTGGTATTTGTGGGTTAAAGTAATTGTTTAAACAAATACAAGCACTATTCCGGACAATCTAGTCGATTTAATGATTAATCTAAGAGGAGCACTCAGAGTAGAATCACATTTCACAGAAGTGTGATCAAAAGAAACACAATAAGCATCCAATTAACCTGAAACATGACTTCCCCAAAGCCTTTTTATGGGTTATCCTGTGTAATCATGCTTTAAAAAACCCTTTTATTCTTTAAGTAAAACATATACAGTAAAAATACTATATTGGGTCAGAACTAAACATATTTCTGTAAAAAAGTGAAGCTTAAATAAAAAGTTTTATTTTTTAATCTTATGGGTGACATTCTCTGCAGTAACTTAAAAAATGGAAACATTCTCAAACACACCTCTTTAATCTAAACATATTGCAAAAACAATCTTTGACCTCAATGGGATTTGCCCCAGTTAAATAAAATCATTTAAAATATTTTAACAAAGACGAAGCAAAGTTCTATTTTTATTTTTATTTTTTTTTTTTACTCAGATTATCATTTTTAAATGTTCTGGTCCTTCTCAGTAATCCAATTAAAAAAAAAATCAATAAATAAAATAAAAAGTAGGTCCTCTGGACGGGTTCTTCTTTATTGCTCATTAAAGAAGAACCCGTCCAGAGGACCTACTTATTTTTTTCTTTTTGATCTTTTATAAATATTTTATAAAATTTATCTTTTGTGTCCAATTATTTTTGAGTTAATTTATTTCAATTGTAATGAGATCCACAAGAGTGAAACTATAAAAAAAGATAAAAACTTCAAATAAGCATGAAGTGTAAGGAGTAGTTCATTTCTGCTTTAGTGACATCACAACACTGAATCACATTCCTGGCTGGCAGACGGCCTGTAAGAGGATTCCTGCACTGGTCCGTGCATGCTTACTGCAATCAGACCAGATTCCTGAGCTGCTGCCGGTTGTGGATAAGGAGGCTGGATTCACTTAGCCGGGTCCGCCACTGGAGCAGAACAGAGCAGTTGGCTACACGTTTGGTGACGTTCGATTACAGCGAGAAGCGGAAATCCTTTCGTGTCTGTTGGATTTGATTATACCACGTACAAAAAAAGTGCTCAAACAGTTGTAACTAGTATTTGATTTTGGGGTTATTGAGTTCATTTTAGTCAGTTTGATGAACCAAGTGCACATTTTATCCACAATGTTTAAGAAAACAGTATGTCAGATGTGACATACTGTAGGTGGGCACGTGCTGGCAGAGAATAAATAAAAATGACTGGAACTGGATAGTTTGTATTTCCACACATCTTTAGCTCTTTTCTGATATTATTTAAAGAGAATTTTAAAATTGGCCTTGATAGCTAGATAACACTAAACAAATTTTATATGTTGTCACCTTCCTAAAATAATCCCTAAAGTAATTTTTTTGGGCAAAATTTATGTTTTTGCTTAAATTATCTTCACGATGGCCACCTGTTGTAAATCAGCAGACCCCCTCGGTTGATCAAATATAGCCCTTTAGGAGAATAGCTTATGTCAAGAGTGTGGCTCAAACTGATTTACTGAGTCCAAATAAAAGGTCACATGTTACATTTTTAAGTCAGGTTTTTTTGTGTTTCCTGAAAAACTTGGGTGATTACTCTAGGAAGGTGTCGATGTGAAGTTACCCAAYGTTCACACTGTCACATCTTCTCTCAGTTCACACACACTGTTTTCTGTTGATCAAACCTAAAACAAACAAAAAAAATATCTAACTTTCAGTTTTATCAGAGCAYGATTCTGGAAAACTCCCACAAGCAGGCAAAGCATAGATTAATATGTAAAGGGCCCAAAACAGAAGTGAAACTAAACGATGTACTCACCTTTACTGTCATTTAATAACATTAGACTTGGCTAAAATATAACAAACGTCATCATGAAGTCGTAAACTCTGGCATCTGGAGAGCATAATGAGCATATTTGAATGGCTCTGACCTGAACTGCTGCAATGATTTAGCCACAGCTTTGTTGCACCATCATTAGTCATCTGTGGTTGAGCCAGTGTTTGAAGGAGGGAATGTTCCTAAAAAAATCTGTGATAAAGGAAATATGACAAACACTTCAAACACATATTTGTTTGGCGCTGGCAGGCATCTAACAGAAAAATGTATATTTTGTAAAATGACCCTGTGGCCTGATGGCGCTCCAGATATCCAGGGGCGGAGCTAGAGGTTTTTTTTGCAAGGGGTGGCCAATGTGTTTTTCAGAGGGGGCACATTCAAATAAAGAAAAGCACTCATGGCTGCAACAGCTAATTCCAAATAGCTTTAATTCAGCTGTTTTAAGAAAACAAAAGAAACATGTTGAATGYTAGTCCCAACTTATTATTCAGCCATTTTTAAACAAATTCAAATAAGATCAGCGAAGAAGTAGCCGAAAACAATCTTTATCAAATTCTAAATGCTAATTCAAAATTCAAGATGGGCRCCAGCTAACTTTAAAAGAATGTAACTCAGACATTTTAAGATAGAGATGAAAACTGTTGTGGAGTAGCTACGAATAACCACATGCTGAATGCCGATGCTAATGCCACATTAAGCTACCTGCTAATTCTATTGCTAATTTTACAAATGGTTATAAGTCAGCCATTTTTAAATGTGCAAAGCTGATAATTTTAATGTTACAGTAGTATCAGAGAACAATCATTACCAAATTTATTTAATTTTTAAATTTAGAAATAGTTTCATTTCATTAAAAACAAAATAACTATAAACAATAGAGAATACAAATATACAAATCAAAAATCTAATAAAACGAAAGGCTGCAAAAAGAAGAAAATAAATCTTATATCTGATCCTTTTATCCCAAGAATATATTCAAACAATAATAATAAAAAAAGAAATAAAAGAAAAACAAAGCTAAATAAAAACATAAATTCAACAACAATTCGTTTGGATTCACATTATTTGTTTCCATATTCCTCCAAAAAACTTACTTTTATCATTCTCTTAAATATGTACAGTACATTCGTCTGGCACTTTTAACATTTATCTCTCTCTATATTTCTCTCATTCCACAATCTTATTCCCTGGATTAAAGTAGACCGTTCCTTCAAACTGGTACAAAGCCAAGGCTTCACAAACATTGCTATCCCCCAATAATAACAAATTTAACATAACAAATTTAAAATGCAAATACAAAATCCAAGGTACTTCCAWATGTGTCCGTTATTTGGGGGTGGCACCTGGGGTGGCCAACCGCGTGCCAGAGGTGGAACTTACCAGCCTGGTCACCCCTCTGGGTCCGCCCCCGCAGATGTCCGTCTCCTTTTGCTGCAAAACCACTAAAATTGTGTTCAGCTCTATGGGCAACATGGTGGAGAAATGGTCACAGCTCCATCTTTGRTTTGAAACTTGGCTCTTCTCTCTGAACTAGGTTGTTTCCAGCTTCTTAGTTTTTGYCTTACAGTCCAACAGCATGCACGTTAAATAAACTGATTCTAAAARGACCTCATGTGCATGTGAGCATGTCTGGTTGTGTGTCTCTGCATTGGCCCTGTGATTGGCTGCTGACCTGTCCAAGGTGCACCACTTCCTTCTCCCTGACTGGAGACACTGCAGGCACCAGCACCTCAAGACACTACACAGATAGAGCAGACGAGTTTTTAAATATGAGCTCAGGAAAAGTGTGTGTTTMTTGCCTCAAGCACATCCAACTTGGACTGCTGAATTYCAAGGCTTTGCTCAATCAGGAGTRTCCATTTTTCTTTCTTGGCCTGTTTAATCCAACTGTTGCTGAAGTCTTTCTCTGTAATGTGAGTCATTTTCTRTTTCAAAATCAAACAAAGAAGGTGTGGCCAACGTACTCAGTGATGTCAGTCCAGGAGTGTACCTTCTGATGGAGGAAACTTTTGTTATAATCATGATCTGACTCAGAAAAACAAACATGGACACTAAGTCTCAGGATAACAGCTTCTAAGAACAAAATTTGCACACAAATTTTATGTTTCCCTGCCTATCAGTTGTTTAGTCAGTGATGTTAAAATATTGTTTTACTCACCAACTAAAATCAATGGAAACAGACCCTGGGAACTCCAYTAAAACAGCCCTCCCTACGCTTTGACCAGTGTAATTCTGTCAGGAAATCATGAATAGAAAGAGAACGAGAGGCCCTACAGAGACGGGTTTTTCTTTACAATGTAATTTAACTCCATTTCTTCCAGTATAACACCTTGACAAGTAGAATCCCTCCAAATAATGGGTTGTGCAGGGACACCAT